TCTGTGGGGTTGTTCTCTGCTTATCTTATTGACGACCCCGAGAAGGAGTAGGCCGTTCACGAAGATATCTGAGTATCTTCTTCTTCTTTTTCTTTTTTCTTTTTTGATTAAGTATGTAGCTGAACCTCAAGATGGGAGTTATTCTTCCCCAGAATGGCCCCCGATATCGTCTTCTCTCGAGTAAGGCATTCCTGGAATGGTGTCTACTGTTTCAAGCCTCAATTCCTGGCGTCTAAGGCCATATACAGAAGTAGAAGCTCTCACCTACTTGGCAAAATAGGAGCGTAGTCAGTCAATTTATGAAGAGAAAGAAACAGCGGACGAAGCATTGAGCGAGTGCTTCTTCACTCTAGTGCTCGAGAGCAGCGCTCTAATAATTATGATAATACATCCCTCAAGACTCGTGACATATCAACAGCAATAATGACTAATCGTTCATGAGTTCAAAAAACCAAAAGAGTTCACCCCCCCGGTGCTGAACTGGGGGCTACATCTCTGGTGCTCATGCTGGGACTCGAACTCGCTAAGCCTGTCGTCGAGTAGGCTGGTTGGCGTTTTGATTGTTGACCATGAACCGTTCCACCACCACACCACAGTTTGACCTGACCCCCGGCCTAAGGGGCGCCTGCTGCGCTGGTGACAGGAATTGGGTTGAGGGGGTAAATGAAGGCTTGTTGTTGTGTATTCAGGGCGGTATAGGCAGAAGAGGTATCGGATGAGAAGGTTTGTGATGTGGCTTGGAAAGGCAAGGCGCGGGTCAGGGTGGCTGACCTGGTAACCGTCGAGGTATGATCTTCGAACAATTTGACTCTGTCGAGTCTTTCCTATATTCTCTGTGGAAAGTCTGATGTTGGACATCTTTGACACGAGTCTAACCACTACGCTGTCTTGCTGGCCCTTTGCAAAGCCTTGCCAAAGTGCTCAACAAAATCAACACAGTCCACAAACGTATTATACAACGGCGCCGGCGCAACTCTGATGACATTGGGCTTCCTCTCGTCAATGACCACCCCAACCTCCTCAAAGTACTCCATCACACCATCCAACAGCCCATCCGCGAGCTTCAAACTCAACTGCGCTCCGCGCTCCTCGCTTACCGACGGCGTAATGATGCTGAACATATCGGAACCGAGCCAGTTCTGGAGCAGCACCTCCAGGAACGCCGTCAGCCGCTTCGACTTCTCACGCAGCGGCGCCATCCCGCCCGCGAGCTCAAACACCTCGAGCGAAGCGCACAGCGACGTGATGTCGAGCACGCTCGGGTTACTCAGCTGGAACCCGGCCGCCCCGGCCGCCGGGTGAAACTTTGTCGCCATCACGAAGCGCGAGCTCTTGTCATTGCCCCACCAGCCTCCGAAACGGTTCACGTAGCCCTTCTCGGAGTCGGCGTCCTCGACCGAGGTCGTGACGGCCGTGTGCCGCGCGTTGACGAACGCGCCGCCGATGCAGCCCGGCCCGCCGTTGAGGTACTTGTAGGTACACCAGGCCGCGGCGTCGACGTCCCAGTCGTGGAGGTGCAGCGGGACGTTGCCGACGGCGTGGGCGAGGTCCCAGATGATGGGGATGGCATGCTTGTGCGCGAAGGCGGTGATGGTGGGGATGTCGAGGAGCTGGCCGGTGTAGTACTGGATACCGGGCAAGAGGATGAGAGCCGTGTCTGCGGCGTGGGCCTCGATGATGGAGAGGATGTGTTGGGTTGCGAGGGTTGGTTCTACGGCGGTTGAGGGGGGCTCAATGCAGACCATTGACGTTGACGGGGAGAGGTCATGGTGTCTGATTTGGGTCTCCACGACGAACTGTATGAGCTGTTAGTGCCATTCCCTTGTCTAAGTTTGCGGAAAAGAGCTGACTTACATGGTCACTCGGAAAGGCCTTGCTCTCCAGGATTATCTTATGCCTGCCGTCCTTCTTGGGCTTGTAGAAGGCCGACATGAGAAGATGGAGGTTTGCCGTCAGAGTCTGCATCACGACAACCTCGGATTCCTCAGCGCCAACAATGGGGGCCATCATCTTAGCCGCCCTGGCGTCTACGTCGAGCCATGTCGGCAACGGGGAGTCTTCCAAAGGCTTGAAATGTCCCTGGACACCCTGCATCGCCCAGGTGGACAGATACTGCTGTATCCTCTCGGCGGTGCGCTTAGGCTGCAGACCGAGAGAGTTGCCGCAGAGGTAGGTGCATTTCTGCTGACCGGCCTCTGATGTGGCAGAGCCGTCCTCTTTTCCTTGGGGAAGGATGTTAGCTCCAAAATCTAGAGTCTAGAGGCATTGAGGGTGAGGAGTAGCATATGAAGGAGTTAGGGAGAGTGAGAATGAAGGGAGCTAGGTGTCTCCTGATGAAGTAGAATGATGCCTCCAATTGCTGACCTTTCTTGGCAAGGGTCTTGCTGGTGATGTCTTGTTTCGTGGGGATGACGAACTCGTCCCGCGTGTGCCTCAGCGCATCTTCCTGATCCAGGGCCTCGGCGCGTTGCCTGATGGAAGCGTCGAGGAGAGGGTCCATATCGGGTGAGATAGTGTGGATGACCTTTGACTAAGATGAGGTAGGATAACCTCCTGCTCCGACCTTGGCTTGAGGTTCGAGAGAGGGATTGAAGCGGGGGGTGGGGAAATCGAAATGGCCGTCAATGTGTCTTGGGATCTACTCTCTCTCGGGTTCACCTTGAATAGCAGTGTCGCAGTAACCCTTGATCGTGTGTATCAAGATCCTTGAATTCAATGAGCTGGCCTCAATATCCTGCGTTTACGGCTTACAAGATGATGCACGTTGGGTCAGAGGTAGTGAGGTCAGCAGTGTTTTCCAACCAAAAACACGAGTGAAGTCATGATGCTCCATTGAATAATTCCCGCGCGTGCGCCCATCCTCCAATGAGGGGTTCGGATGGAGCTCCGGCTGGCGGGGCCACGCCGTGCAGCTGGCAACGTTCACCACCACCTTCCATCTTTTGTGACCACCGAGTGACCATCACCACGACCACAATCACTTGAAGTTGGATGACTGTGTGGATAGGTACCTGAACTTGGGATGGAGCTGCCCACTCAGAGACCAAGGGAGCATCAGGTGTTCCCACCATGTAAAACAGTTGGAGAGAGGGAGGTAGAGGTGAGACGATGGAGAAATCACTATTTCAGCATCAGAGGGGGAGAGGATCCTCTTTTTCTCCAAAAACTTATGGTTGGGTGGACCTTGAAAAACTTGGTGATGTATCGTGATGCCGAAATCAAAGATGTGAATTCGATTAAATCAAGGTACTTTCCTTCGATCCTTGACATGTACCTTGCCCAAGTACCCTATACTTCGTCTAACTGTGTCAATGTACACTTACTTGTACCGGCATATATCTCACAAGTTTCAAAATATCAAAAACCTGCATCGTGACAATCAAAGAAAGAAAAAAAACTTCTGTTCCATTCCATCATCATCAAAAACAACAATAACGTGCTCGAGCTAAACGCCTCGGATTACGAAATATGGGAGTTTTCATTACCCCCTCAAAACCCCGGTATTACCCCCTCATTACCCCATAGACTGGCCACATGCGGGGTTTTGCTGACTCGTCCCTTGGCGACGACCCTCCGCAATCCGCGAGTCTGGGGGGGCACACGAGATCGTTTGGGTCCAGACAGGGCCTGGTCGGTACCTTGAGCCTCGAGGCGCAAGGTAAATCAGGTACGGACGGCGGCGGCGGGCTTGCGTCTTTGTCTCGCCCCTCCAAGTTTTGCCTGTTTCTCGTGGATGGCGGTACCTGATGGACTAGTCTTACACTCCATCCAGATGGAGTCCTTTTTGGGGAAAGGAGGACCACATGAATAGACCCAACAGAATACATACGAGTCTATACTATGTACGACTAGATGGAGAGGGTGGGAGGTGGAAGGTCAGGTAGGTAGCACGGGGTCGGACGGAGCCAGAAGACGAGTCCGTCACCCCCTCCTCCCCGTGCGCGTCCGGGGATCCACGGCGGGTGATGCGGAGGACGAGGTGACTCTGCGACGGAAAATGGATGGTGGGAAGTATGCTGCCACACTCACCCTCCTCCGACGGAGTTCAGTGTTCCACGGAAGGAATCACGGCACGGGGTTTTTCGGCAGCTGCGGGCGCTAGGCGGGATATCAATGTACGAAGTATTCATACACAGCAGCAGCAGACTGACCGGGCTTACTTTCCTTGCAGATCCTGAAGCAAGTCTGGCCAGCCTAGGCCCGAGGAGGCCCGTTTCGAATTCAAGCCACGCTTTTCTTTCTTTCTCTCTTCGTTATCATCTGTTGTGACACGGAACTACTCTCTGTGGTTTCCCAGAATTAAGCAAGTCTTCCCAGAGCCATGGAAAGATAAGCACCGGGTGCCCAACCCGAACATCTTGGAAAGTTTCCCCTTGCTCGCCCGGGTGGTCGGATGATCCTCGCACTTTCGGGTTCTCCCCTTAGCCTCATGCAAGTTTTCTCTGCGGAGTGGTCGAAAGGGGGTGGGGGCGGGGGGGAGGACGACGGGCTGGTATGGGCTGGCTATGGAGGACTGAAGCCATACCTACGTAGAGTTATGGAAGTAGACGCCGCTTTGGTGACTTTTCTCACAATCGACCGATTACCTTACCCCGATGAAATAATGCTCTGCAAAAGGTAGGAGGGAAAGAGGGGACTGACAATGGAAGGAAGATGACGCTTTTCCCCGGCGGGTGTTCTGCATTGTACCTCTTTTTCCATCGAAACTCTGTAACCAATTACTAAAGATGGAATTTGGGAACGGAATGTCGCAGATTCAAGGACACGACATGACTAGGGTTGATTGGCGCTCTCCTACGAGGACAGGAAAGCCGCTGCACCTAACAATACACTCCGCGGGTTCTCTTGGCCGGAGTTTGACTTGACGTTGGGACAGTTTCGGGTGGAGACCCCGACCCTCCGACGTGATCGCCCAAAGTCGTGTGTATGGAGTAGGGGGAGGCTCTGCTTGGCTACCAACTTGTTCTATTTCATGTTCTTTCTGTGACGGGTCACCAGTACTACGATGGCTGGTCTTCCCTAGCCAATGCTATTCCGAGTTCTAGATAACAATCCAAGAGGCCTCCCCTCACGACGGGCGGAAACGGCGTGAAGATCCCGTCCAATAATGCCTCTGGGTTACTCAATTGGGAAGAGCCATTTTCTCTCCAGCGGCTCAACTCAAACTTTTTTTTCTGCCAGAGCAACACGCTCGAAAACTCGAAAAACAGAGCTATCTGATCGTGGTACCTTGCCGGATCGGAATGAATATACGCGGCTCGATGCGCCCGTCGATATGCACAATAGAGGAGGCCTCTCGTTTTTCTTCCCGTTGTGTATATCCAATCAACTAACAAGCGAAGAAAGAAAGAAAGGGCAAGAGAAGGGGGGGACTGGACGCATAGGTCAGGAACCCGGTCGGAAATATTTCTTACGTACTCGTACATGTTCGTGGCGGCCGGCAGTGAGTTTTGCACGATGCCGCAATTATTGCAACAGCTTTTGTAAACATTACGACAAGAAGCAAGGGGTCAGTGAAAAAGTCAAGCAGCAAACACAACAACACCCCCAGTATCGAAAAAAAAGACTTTATTGTATTGTGATTTTGTGGTTTGAATGTCTGGAAATAAACCAGAACCACTAATTAATCCTCGTTTCTATGTGTCATTAACTGCCTCTCTACACACCCCCGGACCCAAAACAGAGGTGAGGTCTTTCTCTCTCCATCGTGACCTGGGGCTGGAATGGTGCCATTGACCTAGAACCCCCGAACCGGGCTTGACGGGCCACCTGGCGCGGCGAAGGAAATTAAATAACGAAAAGTCGCATCGTGACCTTTCTCGGTTTTTTTTTTTTTTTTTCCTTTCCTTGGTCCGTGGTCGAGCTAGAGACTCGTGACGGCTGACTTGCCCCGAGCTTTCCCTGGGGAATGGGGAATGCAGAAAGGAGAACGGGACCTGGCAAAAATCTGGGGAAAGGCACCTTGGCAAGTGACGATCCGAGTTTTCCATCCCCTTGTGGCTGTGCTATTGGAGTCACGATCTCTTCACTCCTGTCAATAGCGACTAGAGGCGTTGTTGGGGTAAAGCGGTCTCCGGGACTCAACCCCCCTCTTTTTGGCAGCGGGAATGTGGACGTGTGCGTGCGTGCGTGTATGTGTTCCACACCTTGAGGTGTGAAGTCTAGAAGTCGGTGGACTGAAAAGGTGAATCGGGGTAAGGGACGGTGAGAGAAAGATCGTGACACATCGTGTCTCTTGACCCTTCCAATGGGGACATGGTTCACATCTCAACCTTTACAACTACGTGACTGAGCATCGAATCCACAGAGTCAGTCCTGAAAGTGCAGACTTGGACAATCCGTCCATTCCAGGCTTCCTGTCAAGTTTCCCCAAACTCTTACCCCATAACATCCACATGGTATATTAGTATGCAGGAAGGGGGAACAGCGCAGTGCTTGTTACTTTCCCGGAAGGAGGAGAGAAGAATCGAATTTGGACGAAACAAAAGGCCTTGTCAGACCGCGTGACGAAAGGAGTCTTGGGTTCAGGACCTCTGGAGACCGGCAGTGTTTTACAACGGCTTTTCCATTTGGTAATGGCGATGCGGGATCGCGGGGCATCAATTTGGATCGTCGGGGCCCCGGCCTGGGGTGGCTAGATTCTGTGGAATAGACTGTGTTGTTACGCAAGTCGAGACTCGAAAAGGGAGTGAGAGTATCGTGAGTTGTGAACACCATCCAAGGTACGGTACCAAAAAGCTGGGGTAAAGCAGAAGCAGAGGAAGCGCAAGCTGCAAGAGTCAGAGGGAACGGGGCATTGTCCAAACGAACTAGGTTTCCCATCATCCAGAGTCCTTCCCAACTTCCCCAATGGGGCCAGGTCGGACTGTCCCGTGGCCATCTCGGGGTCGCAACTGGCGCTGGCGCGGGCTGCACGATCAAGTAATCTGGGGGTAATGGAAACTCGACGATTCGGGGGCCCGGTCCCGTCGGTTGGCAGATGGAACAAACAACAGCCATGCTAGAGCGGCTGTGGGGAAAGGGAGACATCAGCCGCCGCGCTCCCGGGCCACTCGGGGCTGAAAGGGTCAAGGGCCATCCCCAACATTGTTGCCGTCCCGTGATCTTTTTACAGGCTTGACTGATTCTCCCTCGGATCTTGGACCCAGGGGTTCTACTTCTTGTCCTGGTCTAGACTGTTGTTGGGGGGCCTTCCTGGGCGTGCGTGTGTAAAAGGAGGGCTGAGCTGGTTGATCTATGTAGTTGTGCAGAAGATCTGGGGTAAGAGAAATGTGGAAAGCAGAGAGTCTCGGTTCCTAACGAGGTCGATGGAAGACAAGAGCGGGAGACTGGTGTTGTTTTTTCTGGGGGGGTTAGACAACTCGGTTCCTGTGTCCGTATCCAGTTGCGATTGATAGTCTTTGGACGAACATGGCTGTTGCTATTAGTGTCCATATTTTTGTTATGAGGTCTGAGCTGTTGCCGGCCGGGGGACTTGTTGTTATCATGCCGTGATTCACAAGGGGAGGTACGACGACTACGTACACAACAAAGAGGTAAATGTCGTATGTGTACTTGAGAAGATACATGAAGCCTCTTTGGATTAGGTACATTAGTATTGCGAAAGTAGGTATCGTGGGTATCTAGCATGGTACATGATCGGAAACCACTTACAATGGAACAAGGTACGACGAAGTTGGTTCTTTTTTCTGGGGCTTTAGAGGGGCAATGGCTGGGAAGTCGTCTCGAAGCAAGGCCGGCGCCTGACAAGCGGGCGTTTTGAGCTGCAACGCGAATAAGCGGTAAAACAGAGGAGGTACAGAGTACTCACGATTTGTTCAAATTTTCAAACGGGTTTCTTTACCCGCAGCGTGATAGACAGTATTCTTCAGAGTAATCTGCTTTCTTGTCCAAAGTACAGAGGTACCTTCGCTTACCGTCACCGGTCTTTTCGTAACGAGTCCTGTGCTTTGTTGGGAAAGAAACGCAAAAAGACATCATCTCGAGGGTACATGTCGTTTCGTCTGTACATAGAACGGCGGCTACCAGTGCCGAACTCTCGGGGCGTCTTGATAATGGGAAGGTGACTGACGAGATTAGAGAGTGCAATGCAACAGCAGAAGCAAGTTGACAACACAGCAAGCAGCAGGTCGGCGGGTAAACCGGGTACGCACAGGACGGCCCATGGAATGCTGTTTTGCGAGAGCTCACGGGATCCAAGGCCGCGCGCTGAGAGACCGGCCGCCCGGACGTGTGGCTCTGCTGGGCAATACCGATTTTGACACATTTGCCTGCGGTGAGTAAGACCTTATGCCTTGTTGAAGGCTATCGCCATCGGGTTTGGCTGCTTTGACTTGTCATTTTGGACCTGGCATCCGAGATGGCTCATCTTAGATCGGTTCTGTTATGCGCTCTTCTCTGCTTCATCCTTTCGTGCCCTCTCCCAAGTCCCAATCCAACCGGGCCGGTCATGTTGGGTAACACAGAAAAGTATGATATGAGGTTTGAAGAGACGTCGGGTGCCCGCTCCGACACTTGGACCTCGAATGAAAAGAGGTACCTGGCAAGGTATCCTTACGAATAGAGGATGCGAGAGAAAAAAATGCAAGAAAAAACTGGAAAGTGTACCGCTGCTGTGTGGATTGAAGAGCCTCGAATAGCCGTGACATGTAAGGAGAATTGCAGATACGTACACTGGCAAGTCTCTTGTACCTGCTTTCGGTCTTTCCCACGATGCCTTTTTGCAGAGAGAATAACCGAGAAAGAACGGCACAGGGAAGTACGGATACATCTGATGGGAAGAAGTATCTACGTACCGTTGGATACGTACCGTTGGAGGGCATCGTGGTCTTCCCAGTGGATGTTTGAGGCCTTGGTGGTTCCTTGGTGCCCCAAGTGCCCCTCCATTGGCGCATGTGATGTGCCCCATGTGGCAGCTCCCAGGCCTCACTGCTTCAGCTTCCGCCCCAGCTTCCCAGCCAAAAATGTCGCCTTACGCCGTCAGGTACGATGGGGCATACGGCAGCGATGAGGGTGAGCAAGTACCCTTTCCTCCTGTACCTCTACTCCAGGCGGACAGGCGGACCCAGGCCCGGGACGGTCGCACTCGCCAACACCACCACCGCCGCGCCGCCTTCGCCGCCAGGTACCGCAATACTTACGCAGTAGTACCTACCTTACTCCGTACCTACATACTTGGAGAAACTTGAGAAGGAATAGGTACCTTCCCGCCTCTCTCTTCCCTCGAGCTGTAAGCCTGTGATCCAATCAGCAAGGCTAATTGGAGTCTGCTGCCTACCCGAAACGGCTTAGCCCGGTTTCTGTTTGGTAATAGTTCGCCATTTGTGCTGCGGGTGAAGTCATCATCGTGATCCAACTCGTAGTAGACACTGGACGAGAAGCCACGGGAGCTTCGTTCGAAAGGGCGAGAGCTGCAAGGATGCATGTCGACGTGCTTCCCCTGGAGGCCCTGGAGGGTGGAAAATATGCAAAATTTCCTTCACAACGTCTCCCGTCTTTTGCGAGTCACCTGCCCGGTCAAGGGGGGTGTGTGTGTACATGGAAGAAGGGACTTGGAGAGACGTACTCTTGTAGGAGGGAATTAGAAGAGAGAAAAAAGTTCGACTGGGAAAAGAATGGCCGGCATTGATTTCTTGCAGTCAGAAAAGCATTCGTCGCCGTCGTCGTTGTTGTTGTCAAGTCATCAAGTACCTGTGAGTATAAAGCCTTGAGCCGGGCCTCTTGGATCGTGAGTTTCTCAGTTCCTGATCGACTTTGCTTTTTCCTCATCCTCATCTTCATCCTCGTCTCCTCCTCCCCCTTTCAAGAGCCTCAACTAAAGCTCGAGGTTAGACAACTTCACCCAACAAGCAGCATTTACCCGCTTGCTGTTACTCTTTGCCTACATCCCTCCCTCACGCTCTGGCTTCGTTCCTACTGGCCAAATAAGACCTGCCTTATCTCTCAATCTCTGAGCCACCACAAAGGTAAACAACATACACACGCAGCTCTCCCGTCTTTCTCTTCACCAATCCCAAATTGCGTCCCTCACCGTGTCCGCCTATGGGCTCCCTATCTCGCGTCAGCCACACACCTGTAGTACACAGCCCAGCCAACAGCCGTCAGCCAGCTCTCTCAGCAACCGGCCCGGCGGCGTGGTGTTCTGTTGTGTCGCCCCCAATTGCTGCTCTCTTGCTTGTGCCTTTCAAGTTTCCACCACCCCAGGCCCGTTCACAGCCCTGTGGCCACGGCTGCTACGACCTTGTCCGCCCGCCTTGCTGCTATTTTCAGCTGAAGGCAGCAAAAAACGAGTCGATACGGGAGCGCTAACTCTCACTCAGTTCAGGGTCCCTTATCTCTCAGAAACCCGCCCCTCGGTGTTGCCACATCCACATCTCACCAAGTCACAGACTGAATTTCTGGTATCTTTGCTGAACCAGGATCTGGATCTGACGAAACAACTTCTCTCACTCTGAATTGCCATCACTTCCTTCTCGAATCCAGCGAGAAAGATTCCAGGCCCCTCTTGGCCGCAGGTCGCAACCCCACCGGCATTCCAACCAAGGCCAGAACCTCTGACCCAGACGTAACCGATCGACCCAAACCCGGTCCTCGATTTCAGTTCTTCACCCCCTGGGGCTTGAGCAAAACTCACCAAAAAGGTACCAGCTACCAGCGAATTGACCCCAAGCCGGTCGGATGGCTGTGTTGCCCGGGATTCCCATCATCCACCTTTACGTCAATTGACGCATTCTCGATCACCCTCTTCTTGTTCTCTCTGACTCTCGGGGTTGTAACAAACACAAGAGAAGAAAAAAAGGTACATTGCTCCCCCCGTACCTGAAAAGCTGAATAAGATTTGCCCTGGCCTTCCATATTACAACAAGTCATGGGCAATAGCTTCCACAATTCCAATACGGGACGTCCTGCTGACCACTAGTCGCGCTTACAAGGAAACTCCCTCTCGCTCTGCCCGCGGTTGCTTTCCTCTTTACACAGGAAAACACGTATATATCGGCCTCTTCTAGGTTTTGAGATACTTCGTCCTCGAACCTTTCCTGCCACGCCCACGCCCCCCTTCTTATCATCCGCTGCCTCCTTTCATCCCGTCTTCATCTGTCAAAAACAGCCTGTTCTTGCCATTGGCTTGTGAGACAACCCACGGCTCCTCTGTCATTCACCACCACCACCACCACCACCACCACCACAACCGTCAACAACAAAGCTCAGGCCAAGCACCTTACCGTCAAAGTGCCCCGCCGGATCACCTCTCCGAGACTTTGACATCAGTCACTCACCTCGGCTTCACCTACACTAGATTCCACGTCCTACTTAACAAACACCACGCCCCGCGATATCTGCACTCCTCCCCGGAACCAGACATCGTGTCTCTCATCCTCTATCTTTTCCCTATACCCCTATACCGATCAACCGACCAACAGTCGGCAAGAAGCAGCTATCCGAGCCCATTGTTAGCTCTGCATCTGCTTTCCTACCTGATCCCGTATATCTGAATCGGATCAGCATCGCGCTAGTCTACCGAAGACGCAAGGTACGCCCGCCCGAGTTCACCTCCCCCAACTCCAAATTCCCATGCCCTCTCACCTCTCGTTGGCTCCCCCTGCCCATCCCTTATCAGTCCACCCATTGCACGAGCCTACGGCGGTGAAGCTTCAATGCTCCCGTTGCTCTCTCGATTCCTACCTTTGCGCGCGATTCCATTTCCACAACACAGCACTTCTGTTCTACCTTGCGGGCCCTGTCCAATTCCCAGACCGCATTGTCCAGAGCAAGAAAGCCTGCTCTAGATCCCCACGATCCATTGACGGTCCCGGTCGTCGCAATCAAACGTAACGGGCGCTCGACAAAGCTGTCCTGCCAGCAGTCTGACACTGACTCACAAACATCATGTAACTTTTCCTGGTTGCTGCGATGCCTCGTTGTCCCCGTCAACATACTTAGACCCTGGGGACGCCCATCCTGACACTCGTCTTCCTCTCCCTCTTCACCACAAACCGTCTCCCGCCATAATCACGCTACTTCTTCCTGCCATCTTGTTGATTCGCTACTCGCCACAATGTTGGCCTTGTCAATCAATACTGACCTTCCTACCATGGATAGGTATTCTTCAGAGCCAGACCCCCTCGAAGAAATCAGCGACATCATGGCGACCGCCGCCCCTCCTCGTAACAAGATGCTGGGCCAGGTTCAGGCCGACTCAGCAGAGAGCAGCCGTGGCCCCTCTCCCCAGCCAACACATTTCAGCTTGCCCATGGCTTCTCGCTCAAATGGCAACGGCCACAGGGTTTTGAGGTCAGCAACAGTTGGCTACATTGCGCCGACTTTTGTTGGCAAGCAAGAGCAGATGGAGCAGGGTGAGTTTGTTGTTGTCCAGGAACCAAGTCGAGGGCGTCACTAACACGCGCAAAACTAGTCAAGGAGCTCATCAAGAGCAACGGATGGATCCCAGAAGCTCTGATTGAGGAGCAAGTCACATGGTTCTACGACGAGCTCGGCATCGACGATGTCTACTTCAAGATTGAAGTTCCCGAGGTCATTGCCAGCCAAATCACATCTCTGTACGCCGCCAAGGTGGCCGCTTTCGCCCGCGAGGACAAGCGCGAGGAGATCAGACTTGACATGGAGGCGCATGATCATGCCATTTACATCGACACGAGCGAGCCCGGCAGGACGTCCATTGCTGGACCCCGCTACGAACAGCGCCTCGAGGCCAAGTATCTTGACCATGTTGGCAAGACCAAGTTCCGTGTAGAGACCTTCCGCTCTCCTGGAGTTCTGGGCGCATCACCAACCTCTAAGGCCACCCTGCGCTGCTACTTCGTCTACCAATGTCTCTTCAAGCAGAGCCCTGAGACAACGGACCCTCACGAGACCCGTTTGGAGGTCATTGCCGACAACGGTTTCTTGCAGAAGGCCACCAACAACACCAAGCAGATCTACCAGGAGATCATTGATCTCGCGGTCAATAGAACTGGCCCCGTCATTGAGGTCTTCGACATTGAGGGCTCTCCTGAGAAGCGCTTGGTCATTGCCTTCCGCTCTCGTACTGCCCGTGGCCTGTTCTCGGCTCTCAGTGACCTGTACCACTACTACGGCGTCACCAGCTCCAGAAAGTACGTGGAGCAATTTGCCAACGGTATCACGGTCATGAGTATCTACCTTCGTCCCGCTATGAACATCGAGGGTAACTTCCCATCGTTGGACCAGTCGATCCACCAGATTACCAAGGAGATCTCCCTGCTGTACTGTATTCCCCAGAACAAGCTGCACTCTCTCTTCACTGCCGGTGAGCTGAGTCTGCAAGAGACCGTTTACGGCCACTGCGTCTGGGTTTTCATTCAGCACTTCCTGAACCGTTTGGGTTCTGAGTACATCTCCCTGTCAGAGATCCTGGACCCTAAGAACCAGGCTCACACAGCACTTCTGTCCAAGCTGAAGCGCCGTCTGAGGACGGAGACTTTCACTCCCGACTACATTCTGGAGATCATCCAATCGTACCCGGGCCTTGTTCGCGCCCTCTACGCTTCTTTTGCCTCGGTGCATCTTGCCGTCGGACCCGACTTTGACCGTCACTTCATCGCCCCTACCCCGGCCATTGAGGTCTTGTCCGATGCCAAGCTCAAGGAGCGCATCACTCGCGATGTTTCCAACGAGCACGAGGAGATGGTCATGACCGCCTTCCGGGTCTTCAACAACGCCATTCTCAAGACCAACTACTTCACTCCCACCAAGGTTGCCCTGAGTTTCCGCCTGGACCCCTCTTTCTTGCCTGAGATCGAATACCCCAAGCGCCTCTACGGCATGTTCCTCGTCATCGGCGCCGAGTCGCGCGGTTTTCACCTGCGCTTCAAGGATATTGCCCGCGGTGGTATTCGCATCGTCAAGTCTCGCAGCAAGGAGGCTTACGGCATCAACGCCCGCAACCTGTTTGACGAGAACTACGGCCTGGCCAGCACCCAGCAGCGCAAGAACAAGGACATTCCCGAAGGCGGTTCCAAGGGTGTCATCCTTCTTGACCCCAAGATGCAAGACCGCGCCGAGGAGGCCTTTGAGAAGTACATTGACAGTATCCTCGACCTTCTGCTCCCTGCCCAGACTCCCGGCATCAAGAACCCGCTTGTGGACCTGTACGGCAAGGAGGAGATCATCTTCATGGGACCCGATGAGAACACGGCAGAGCTCGTCGACTGGGCTACTGAGCATGCTCGCGCCCGCGGCGCACCCTGGTGGAAGTCATTCTTCACTGGCAAGTCGCCCAAGTTGGGCGGTATTCCCCACGACACTTACGGCATGACGACCCTGTCTGTCCGTGAATACGTCAACGGTATCTACCGCAAGCTCAACCTCGATCCCTCGACTGTGAAGAAGATGCAGACCGGCGGTCCCGATGGTGACTTGGGCAGCAACGAGATCCTTCTCAGCACCGAGAAGTACACTTCCATCGTTGACGGATCTGGTGTTCTCGTTGACCCCAACGGACTTGACAAGCAAGAGCTTCTCCGTCTTGCCAAGTCAAGATCCATGATTGTCAACTTCGACATGTCCAAATTGTCCAAGGATGGATACCGCGTGCTGGTTGATGACAACAACATCAACCTGCCCACTGGAGAGTTTGTCTCCAACGGCACATCTTTCCGCAACACCTATCACTTGCGCGATACTGGTCTCACCGACTCCTTCGTTCCCTGCGGTGGTCGTCCCGAGTCCATTGACTTGATTTCGGTTAACAAGATCATCAAGGACGGCAAGTCGACCATTCCCTACCTGGTTGAGGGCGCCAATCTCTTCATCACTCAGGATGCCAAACTCCGCTTGGAAGAGGCCGGCTGTATCCTGTACAAGGATGCCAGTGCCAACAAGGGCGGTGTCACGTCTTCCTCCTTGGAGGTTCTTGCTTCGCTCTCGTTCGACGACGAGAACTTTGTCAAGCATATGTGCCACGACGCCAAGGGCCAGGCTCCTCAATTCTACAAGGACTACGTCAAGTCTGTCCAGGCAAAGATTCAGGAGAACGCCCGCCTTGAGTTCGAGGCCATCTGGCGCGAACACGAGCAGACCGGTGTTGCCCGCAGCACCCTCTCCGACAACCTGTCCAACGCCATCACCACCTTGGACGAGGAGCTCCAGCACTCCGATCTCTGGAAGAACGAAGCCATCCGTCGCTCGGTCCTCCAGGACGCCCTCCCCAACCTTCTTCTGGAGAAGATTGGCCTCGACACTATCATCGAGCGCGTCCCCGACTCCTACTTGCGCGCCATCTTCGGCAGCTACCTCGCCTCGAGGTTCGTCTACCAGTTTGGCAGCCAGCCTAGCCAGTTTGCTTTCTACGACTTGTAAGTTTTCCAGCGCCCTTCAATCCATTGAACATGATTCTAACCTTCTACTTAGCATGGCCAAGCGTATGGCGAGCGTCAAGCAGTAATCTTTTTTTCGAGTGTTTTTCAATCAGGCGTGTTTCTGTTTTCCCTGCATGATAATGGGTATTGGAGAATTGGATAAGTGATTTCGTGCTTCCTGGCATATACACGCATGGGTGGTGCGAAAGAAAAGACAGAGAGAAAAAGGAACATCATGACACGGCAGTAAAAAATTGAGCAAAGGACCATAGTCCACGCTTAGATGGTGGATGAATTGCATACTAATAGGAGTTATCGGGCATGGTTATCAGATGGTTTGAACCTGATGGTCGAGAAGATCACAGCAGTTATTCAATGAGACTTTTAAACCTCAGTTTGGCGTTTTCTCCTTATCTTGATCCTCATGAATTTACTTCTCAGGCTCAGCTTGCATATGTTTGAGCTTTCCATCCTGCATCCATGGCACTACTGCTTGTAGGGGCGCGAGTTGATATCGTGAAGCCGCCTTTCGGTAGACGTGATGTGGGTTCGATCGGCCTCACAAATTTGCCGATGATTGATGGCATGTTTTCCCGTACGGGATGGTAGTCTACGGAAGACCTTGGAAACCTTGTAACCTACAGAGGGCCAGGATTGAGTTCTATCCTACCACAAGAATCAATACCTGGCCATAACGGATCCGGAACGAAGAGAGCAGAGGACAGATATAACCTCTGACGTCCACAGCTGAAGAGATGAACGTAGAAACACGGAAGCAAAGCAGGGCATGTTGTTGATTAAAGGATTGGAAGGACATGCGGATCTACTTCCACGCCCTCTCTCTCACGCCTACCTTGTAGCATAACCTTGCCCCCCCCCCTTCCCCTCCCCTTCCCCCAGTCAGTCTTCCATACCACACTACCGAACTCAGTGTGGTGTATCCAAACTGTCGGGACGGCCCCTGTGACCACTCGGTCCGCTCCGAAGGGGGGAGAGGGGAGGAGCTTCTTGGGATGGGTAGGATAGGCGGGCTGTAAGTGCTGGGGGCTGAAAAACTGAGATAGGGCGAGACTGGAAGGCGTGGGGGTTCATTTCCATATAAGTACACACCCTTTTACCTTTGTCCCCCCCCCCCCCCCCCCCCCCCCCCCCGCGCCCCCCCGGGCGCCTCCCCTGAGCAGAGAGGGAGGTGGGGCAGGGGGGGGGGGTTGTTTTCAGAAGACCTCAAGGTTCCCCCCCTTTTTCTCTTCCCCCCCCCCCCCCCCCCACGGCCTGCGCGGATCCCCGGAGATCTTTCAATGAGAGAGAGAGAGGTTTTCGGCGCTTTGCTCCGATGCGGGCGGAGCCGATCCGGCTTGAGATCCGAGAACTCGGCAACATGTTTTTTTTTTTTTCTTTTCCTTTCTCTCCTATCAGATGAATATCTGGTCATGAACGCGGTTGAACTGGGTGACGATGGTACAGGTACAGAGGGAGAAGCCTGGTCAATCCAAACTGTTTTCAATTTCTATGCCACTTGATATAAGTTTTCTAGCTTAGCTTCAGATCCCTGGATCAACATATGCCCAAACATTGCAATTTTCTTTTTCCCCTTCATGAAGTCTAGATCCCTCCCATGACGACCTTGTACCTGATTAATATAGTTCCCACTTCTAAACAACCCTCAAACAAGATATACCGCGGGGGAGACGGGTAGCACGCAAGAAACGAGCGGGTGAGTCAAATATGTGGACGCAAGACTCTAGTGCGTCTCGGCCCACGCGCGGAACCATTCCAGGGCCTCGGGGTTAGCGACGCTGGCGTTGGTCTTGACGTCCATGCCGGAAAGGATCTGCTTGACGGCAACTTCGATCTTCTTCCCGTTCCCCGTCTTGGGGATCCCGCCGCCAGCCTCTTCAATAACACCAGGAACATGCCTGGGGCTCAACTCCCTCCGAATCACACTCTTAATCTTGCCCCTCAGCTCGTCGTCAAACGCGCGGCCCGCGACGGGAACGACGAACAGACACACCGTCTCGTCGGCGTCCGTGGCGCGCCGGCGCCCGACGCAGACGGCATCCTCCACCTCGGCGGCGAAGAAGCGCGTCAGGATGTTGTAAATCTCCGCGGACCCGAACCGCACGCCCGCGGGCTTGAGGACGCCGTCGGAGCGACTGAGCATGACGAGCGAGCCCGTGGCCGGGTTGGGGATCTTGATGAAGTCGCCGTGGTGCCACACCGCGCCCTTTACGCCGCAGACGTCGGCGAAGCGCTCGAAATAGGCGGCTTTGTATTTGTTGTCGCCTCCGGTGCCGAAGAAGGTGAGGGGCTGGCAGGGGAAGGGGCGGATGCAGATGAGGTCGCCTGGGTGGGTTGGGTCCGGGAGGGGGTCGCCCGAGAGGGAGTCGACGGCGCGGATGGCCATGCCGAGGCCCGCGCACTGGATCTCGCCGACGCGGACGGGGAGGAGGGGGCAGGGGGCGCCGAAGAGGGAGATGATGTCTGTGCCGCCTGTGATGGAGGCGAGGTTGACTTTGGCGGGGAAGGCCTTGTAGACGAAGGAGAAGGTGGAGGGCGGAAGGGGGCTGGCGGTGGAGTAGATTGCCTCGAGGGCGGAGAGGTCGATGCCGGGCTCGTTTACGGGGTAGACTGCGTTGGCCTCGAGGGCGGTGAGGTAGGCGGCCGAGGTGCCGAAGTGGGTGACGCGAAGGTCGGAGAGGAGGCGGGGGAGGGAGAGGTGGCCGTGGGGTTTAAAGGGGGAGCCCGAGTAGAGGACGAGAGTGGCGCCGACGGCGAGGGCGGAGACGGACCAGTGCCACATCATCCACGAGGTTGTGGTGTAGTAGAGCATGCGGGACTTTGCGGTGAGGGAGCCGTGGAGGGCGTGTTCCTTCTTGTGCTGGATGAGGGTGCCGAGGGCGGTGTGGACGATGGCCTTTGGCAGGCCGGTGGTGCCGCTGGAGTAGAGGATGTAGAGAGGATGTGAAGGCGGAAGCTGCTCAAACTTGAGAGGCTCATCGGGAGAGCTTGGGTGAAGATGTTAGCAGGATGCAGTAAAGAGGCTTCTGGTGAGTTTTTCCAGGCGTTGATGATGACTGACCTTTGGAGGAACGACTCGTACTCATCAACTGCGACGCCTGTTGCTCTCAGGCCGTCAATGGCAAGGTCGCATGCAACATTGTTGATGACAATCACGAGCTCGAGGCCCTCAGGCATCAGGGCCTTGACGATCTCCTCCGTCTTGTCGGTACTGCTCCACTCCTTGCCGTTGTACACGGTGCCGTTGTCGGCGAAGAGGACCTTGGGCCCGATTTGCGCAAGACGGTCCAACACTGCGCTGACACCATTGTCGGGGCTAATACCAGTCCAGATGGCGCCTACAGAGGCAGCAGCGAGAGCGGCAATGATGGCCTGGACGTGGTTGGACACGAAGCCGGCAACAATGTCGTTGGGCTTAACGCCGTGAGCCCGGAGGCCGGCGGCGCATCGGCGGACGGCGTCTCGGAGCTCGGCCCATGTTGTGGAGACGGAGGGGCCGAGTTCGGTGGTGGTGATGGCTGCGACGGATGTGGGGTCGACAGCGACGTTGGCGGGGAAGAGCAGGTTCTCGGCAAAGTTGAGACGGGCTCCTGAGAAGAAGCCTGGACGCGGGTACATGGGCGCGTTGAGCGGCAGGACCTAAGGGCGTTGGCCCATCGGGCCGGATCAGCTATTGGTCTGGGAAAAGTGAGATTGAGGTGATCTTTGGAGGGGCAGCACGGGCGCCGGTATAGGAGGGGGAAGGCGTTGAGATGGGCAAATCGGCATTCCCATGGGCTAGACAATGGCTCATGGCATGACTCAATTGCTCGGGGATGATGGTCATGCAAAAGCTGTATGCCATGACCACATAGCTGTCCGCCTCACTCGAGGCAGTATCAAGGTTCTTGATGGGCGTCCTGACGAGGGTTCAAGACACTGGTGAGGACCATGGATGGCATTGGCGACTTTGATGGTGTCTCCCTCTGGCTGTTGCTCGCTGTCTCTGGCACTCGCGTAGAGTTTGAGCCCTTCCTCTCAGACTGATGTCACACAACCTCCTTCTCTTTTACCTTCTGCCTGCTATCTTTCAAGATTGGCAGTCAAGGCGCGCCAAGCATAAGTAGGGCAAATAGAGGATGAGGTTGAGTTGAGTTTGGGGTGAGTTGACGACTAGCATTGGCCCAGCGTACCTTGTCGAAGGGCTTAGAGGCGGTGATGCCCACAGAATGCCAGACCTCCTCCCAGAACTCTGCCACGTTTTCGACGGACCACTTGTAGAGACCGGGGTAGTCTGCCAGTTCGAGTCCATACTTTTGATTCACCCGGAGAAGAAACGCCCACATGGGAGTCGAGGTGGGGTCCGGGTGCCGCCAGAGCTCGTTGCGCGTGACACTGGTGATGGTCATGCTGGGCGGATTGATGAATTGGAGGGAATTGAGACGATGAGAGACGGAAGAGGCAGTCGGTGCTCTCAAAATGGGACCTAGATGTTGGGTATCACGGCGACGATGGTGGTCAAGTTAAAAAGGGGGAAGAAAATGTTTTCGAAAATTGTGTGCAGCACCGCGCCAAAGTGAGAGTCGAGAGATTCCGGCCAGAGTGGAGGGAGAAGAGTTGGGCCGTCGCAATCCGAGGATGCAGTTCCGCAGGAAGATTCCGAAAAAGGGTTGAGGACGCAGTACCAGAACAATCTGCTGGACCGGAGTCCGGGGGTGGGGGTGGAATCTGCTGCACCGCACATCGGCGAGGGAGGGCAAGCAGCTCATCGTCAGCTTAGTCTGCTTGGTCCAATTTCCACATCAACTCTTCTTTTCTCAGATACTGTGTGTGGCCAGCTGACTGTGCTTCCGTTTCGCATTGGAGCTCGGTCATGGCTCGTTGCTCGCCTGTTCTTGTCTTCGGAGAACCTTTGACGAACCTCGACATCTCAAACACCGCAGTTCATGGACGCTCTGCTGAGAACGAGGACCGTGGTGAACTGTGCTCTGCCTTAGCTAAGGTACCCGTGGATCATGGACAGTAGTCGTGCTGTTTGACGCTGTACCTGCATCTGGTAAAAAAAGACTGGTACGACAGGCGAGCCTGTAGTGTACGGAGTAAGCTCTAGAACTAACAACAGAGCACTTGCAGACGCTCCCCACAGTCCAGCTCATCGAGGCACATGAGGCTATGCAGGGCACACCTTGGCAAGGACCTTCACGGCTTCAGGCACTTGAGCGAGGCGTTCATGGCATTGGGAACCCAGAGACTCGCCCATTCCGCTCTGTGGCTGGTGCACCAATGCGCCCCCCTCCTCTACCCTCCCCTTCGATGCGTCTCGTTGGACTCGATCAGTGTTGCGCTATCGCTGTCGCTTCATATCGATAACGTTGTCCAAGCGGACTGGGAAGACGTCTCAGAACGGGACCCAATGCTGGGGAGAAGCCTGCAAGTCGACGGGCCTCAATCAAAGATGGTGCAGTGACAGCTCACACAATCCCACAGTCGAGGACCTTGTTACACGGGTAAACAAGCACTGCAGACGGGAGATTGTGTGAAATGTCATTGGCCGCACCCAAGATTCCTAGTATCATAATCTGGCGAAACCGCAACACGCGATTCGGTCATCGAAGAGATCGAGATGGCCAACAAATGTCACCAAGGCCTCGGGAGACTAGCCGATATGCCGTACGTTGCAGGTGGGTCGATGACTGCTATTGAAGATTGAAGGGTCGCGGAGAATACAAACGTGTAACAAAGAAGCAACGGCATATCGTCAAGCCGTTGATGGAAATTCGAGTCTCGAATTAAATGACCATTCGTGCTGTCCCATTTCGAGCTCGTGTTACCCAACGTTGTGTCCCAAGTCAACGGTCAAAAAAGCGAGACATGCGCTGCGCCTCTGGTTCGTTCGACCCATTGCCAACTGGCCATCCGAGCGCCTTGGTTGCTTTTCTCTCTCTTTGCCTTCTGCAACGTCTTGCTTCCATCGCCAAAGTCGAGGGCGCCCTGTGCACGCAGAATATGGTTATGCGATGGGACCTCACGTAGAAACTGTTCAGCCAAGTGAGTGCCTTGAGTGCCTTGATTTGCTGGGGTCAAGTCACTTGTTGAACCGTCGGTGAAGCCGACTGGCAGGGCAAACGATGCTCCATTATGTCCAAGGCACTAGTGGACGAGGGTATTGACAACAGCATTGAGTTGGGCAGAGATGGGCCAAATAGCTGTATGCATTGTGTCGAATGCATTGCCGGAAAGACACGTCCAACGCAACTATTTTGGTGATAACGTCACTTTGACCCTTCCAGACAATTCATCGGACGGCGTAAGGTGAGGAGGAGGGCTGTCGACAAGTATGGGAACAAGGGGGTTCCATGGTGAAGTGCTTCGCTGGCTTAGCAAGGCTGGCAGGCGACTCAACTTGGAACCATGGATAGGGCGGCGGGAGGTGAAGGTGAATTCTGACTGTTTGGCCAAAGGCGGGCCGTTGGACGATGAATTGTGCGACGACAGGGTCCTGTAGTGGTAGCAATAGCCGGGGGAGAACAGGTTAACGGCACTGGCGGGAACTTGGAAGCTCTTTAGCTCAGCTCTTCCCGTCATGCACAGCAGAGCTTGGGACGTGGAGCAGTGAAAGCCTCGCGGGATCTGCGTAGGCTGGACTAGTACAGGATACCGAGGGTCGCATTTTGATGACATGGTCGGGTAGACGAAGAAGCGGATGACTATGCCTCGAAGCAATGCCAATGCTCAATGGCGGCATGGCTTGATGCTAGAGCGGTTGCGAACTCCAGAGCATCCGAGAGCGAAGGCGGGTGAGGGAATCTTGGTCCTTGGAAGAGGGACGGCGACTGCAAAGAAAGAATTGTCCGATCATCAGTCATCGAGAGTCCGGTGCGTCCGTCTCGGCCGTGTCGTCCGGGCAGCCTGTCAGGCTTCGATTCGCCCCTCCCCCTTTTCCCGCGCGTGATCTGATGGTTGCTTCCTGCTTGCTGCTTGGTGCCAATGGTTGACTGGATGGGTGCCGAGTTGAGTAACGCGCCGGGGCCAGGCGGGATTTGCCCAACAGCCGAGATCACATTGGGTGGGTGGATATGGTAGTGGATCAAAGATGCAGCAAACGTGGTTCGGCCAGAGCAAGGCAAGCCGCAAGCCGCAAACCGTAAAATGAGGTGAGTTGTTAGTCGCGAAGACTGGCCGGAGCATAGCAGACAAGGTTGTGGATATCAGGTAGGGTACGGAGTATTCGTTGTGTCGTTGCTTGTGGAAGGGCCCGCACAGGGGGTCTGACACTTGGACATTGAGTGAAAATCCAAGAATAAGGATGATCAGGAGCCAAAAGTTGTAAGCCTCGCTTGAATGTCAGAGGCAAGCAGCATAGTAGGCATTAGCGGTTGGGCTAGGGGGCCAAATGCTGGTGTGTGATATCTATGTGCGTGTTCAAGAGAGCGATCATCGTGAGTCTAACAGTAGGAATTCTAGGCGAGGTACGGATAGAGAGACAGGCCAATTGGAGGCAAGACAAGAAAGAAAGAAAGAAAAAAAGGACCGTGCAATAGAAAGACGAACAGCGGGCAACCCGGACGTGTCGGGAGGCCAGGGGTCAGAAGCGGGAAGAAAGACAAGAAAAAAAAGACTCGTCGAGGTGTGCGAGAATGAGACCTGGGAGTCGATCCTCGAAATTGAAATGATACGCGCTAACGGGGAAGAGAGGAAGAAAAGTCACTCGCATCGCGGCTTCCACATGAGTTGCGCGGTGGGCAGAGAGCCCCATTAATCATCACAACGGGATGGGGGGGAAGATACTTTGAGGCTGCACCTTATTATGTGCATTCCAAAAGTACCTTTTTGATAACATGCTGTCGTACTAGGGTCATACAACCTGGAAGGCACGGATGCTACACAGTAAGGTACAGCCCGTCCACGCGGTAATTTTCCTCACCGTCGTGGATCTCCTCTGCATTATCCGTATTGTGTTTTTTTCTTCTTCCTTCCTCGTCAGGGTCATTGCCTTTATTTCCCAACTTGTGCCCTCTTTCCTTTTCAGACTTCTTCTTCTCCTTCTTCCTCTTCCCCTTCCTTCCTCTCCAAGCTCACATTATCCTGTGGTTCCTTCCTTTCATTCCCCGTCCTAACCTTCCCTTGGACTCTGGAGCTGCCTTCCCGAACAGCCCGACAGCAGACCAATCGCAGGCCTGCATCGATCGAGAAGAGAGGTCCAGACACCACTTCGACGCCATAGGTACCTCGTCACCTGCTTTTCGCCGTTGGGATACTTAGGCCACCAAGTAAGGTACCTTTCCAGGTTGCCTGTCTCGACTCTCAACACACTCGAAAAAAGTCACCTCACTTTCAAGGTCCTTACCTCATCACTGCGTCTACGTACTCCGTACCTTACGAAGTACCTTAGCTCATCGCTCATCAACGCGCCTCACCTCAGTGCAACAGCTGCAGCACCCACCCGCACCAATTTTACCTAAAATCACGGTCCAATCCCATCGCGCGACAAGCCGAAATCGACAATTTGCCTTTTCCTCTTTCGCTCCCGCCATCTCCAACAAATCTCCCTCCCGAGTTTCCATCCTCCTCAGCACTCACTCCTTGCAGTTGCAGCCCCTTGCAGCTGTTACAAATTCTGCGAGACTTGCTCGGTTCACCACCTTTTGCCGTCTGCATCTTCTGTTTCTCAACGGGAAACCCCATTCTTCATATTTGCACCAAACCTGGAACTCTCGCCCTGAGCCACTACAGAGCCACGACCTCTTAATTGCATCCTCGTTGCTCTCTCGCGCCCCCCTAACCCCCTTTTCGCTTTCGCCTCCTCAACTTCTTGCTTTCTCACAACTTGATCAATCGCAAAAGCAAAAGAAGTCGCCAAAGAGAAAAAAAAAAAGATTTCCTCGGACCTACACGACTGTATATCCAACCTCCAACTTTCGGCCACTTGAGCACCAGCTGCTTAAAGCCTTTCTTGGTGAGTGCTTGACCGTTAATTCATCATCATCATCATCATCGTCACCTTTCCTCCAAAAACAACCCAATCCGAGGACTCCGGCGCCTCGATAGCCTCTGTGGCTCCCCCAAGCGTCTTGTTAGCGCTTCATCTGTGTCTTGTTTCGTGCTTCCATCAAACCGCCGCAAGAAGTCGGAGGTGAGCCCTTGGCTATTCGCACTTCTAGCGCGCTCATCTTAGTGGTCGCCTACTCTGTGCCTGCGACCGCGGGTGCGCCACTGACACTCTGACCGACAATTTCCCTAATTCTCAAACCACCAACCATTTTTGTTATCTCTTCCACAACATCCGGGCCTCCCGTCAGACTTGCATTTCGTGCTGACCGATCGTCTTTCTTCTTCACAGCGCATCAATTCTCGGTTTCGTCAAGGAAAACAGCTTCGTCCTCGTTCTCTCCCTCAATTCGGTCTTTTCCTGCTCCATTGCAGACTTCGAATACCCCTATTCCAATCGCCACTGAGTCGGCCATAGACAGCCACGCGCTTCTCAGCAATGCCCCGTAGAATTGCGAATCCCTTCTCCAACGCTCATTCACCCGCCATGCCGCTCTCCGAGAAGGAAAGGAGACCTTCTCGTTCCGGCAATCGCATCACCAACTTCTTTACCTCCCCCAAGGGCGCTAAGGATAAGGACCACCAGACTGCCCAGCAAGCTCTCCTCGCCATGCAGCAGCAAAACATCTCGTCCACCCAAATCACCCCTTCCACCATCTCCCTGCCTACAATTTCGCTCTCAACTGCCACCGCTGGCGAGCCCGACACCACTGACCCCCCTACAACCCTCTTTTCGCCTCCCTCAGCCGTCGAGACGGAGAAGAAGAGGCGCTTCGATGCTCAATTCGGTCCTCTCCTTCACCCTACCCACCGATACGTGAGCAAGTCCAACGATGGCAAGCCCTTGGACCCGCCCATCATCGATGAGCCGCCCTACTACTACATCCTCACTACCTACATCAGCTACCTGCTTCTCATTCTCTTCGGCCACGCCCGCGATTTTTTTGGCAAGCGCTTCGGCGACAAGAAGCATTACCAGGCTCTCAAGCCCCAAAATGGATACGCTCCCTTGAACGAGGACTTTGACAACTTTTACGTTCGTCGTCTGAAGATGCGCATTGACGACTGCTTCGCACGACCCATCACCGGCGTTCCCGGCCGCTACATTACCCTCATGGATCGCGAGTCTAGAGACTACAACAGAACCTACAACTACACTGGCACACACACCGAGACATTGAACATGAGCTCCTACAACTACCTTGGTTTCGCGCAGTCGGAGGGCCCTTGTGCCGATGCTGTTGAGGAATGCGTCAAGAGATACTCTCTCAGCACTTGCAGCCCCCGCGCTGATGTCGGTACTTCGGACTTGGCTCTGGAGGTCGAGAAGGAAATCGCCAGCTTCGTCGGCAAGCCCGCTTCCATGGTCTTCTCCATGGGTTTCGTCACCAACGCTAGCTCGTTCCCCGCCCTCGTCTC